TTTCTGTTAATTACTGTTTCCATCATGTTCTTTTAGAGGAGAGTCTGTTTGAAGGGGGGGAAGGGGGTTGGTAATTGGACAGGACAGTCACCTTTACCAGGGTACAGACGCGGGGGCAGGTTCCGCAGCAGGGCACACACACATTGCAGTCACTAGTTACCCTGGTCAGTCTGGGAGGTGGTTTTCATGTTCTGTGTGTGTGTTGGGGGGCTATGTGACTTTGTGGTGGGGGAGGGCGGTTAGAGATCTTATGCAGCGGTCCTTATCCTGGATCACAGAGCCACGCTGCAGGGGATCTGTAACCGTCATCCCCCTACCACAAAGTCACATAGCCCCCCCACACAGAGTCCCAAACAGGAGGGGTGGCAGGCTCCGTTGAAACAACCAGTCCACCAGTGCGGAGCCTGTCATTCCTTGAGTTTAGAACCGTCCTTTGCATCACTACACTACACCCGCTCCCCACCACAGTCTGCGTCCCAGGTTCAACACTTTACCGCGAAAACAGTAATAAAAAAAACGGTGTTCATTAACAAATTTCAAGTGATTTTATTTTTAAACGTGTGTTGGAAGGGGGGGAATGGGGTGAACGGGGTATGTGACTGGAGAGGATAGTGAACATTAACTGGGTAAAGAAACGGGGGCAGGTTCAGCTTCTCTGTAATCAAACTTAATAGTCAGAGGTTACCCTGCTCACTCAGTAACCTAGCTTTCAAAGCCTCCCGGATGCACAGCGCATCCCGCTGGGCTCTTCTAATCGCCCGGCTGTCTGGCTGGGCGTAATCAGCAGCCAGGCTATTTGCCTCAACCTCCCACCCCGCCATAAAGGTCTCCCCCTTGCTCTCACACAGATTGTGGAGCACGCAGCAAGCTGCAATAACAATGGGGATATTGGTTTCACTGAGATCAGAGCGAGTCAGTAAGCTTCTCCATCTCCCCTTGAGACGTCCAAAAGCACACTCCACCACCATTCTGCACTTGCTCAGCCAGTAGTTGAAGAGTTCTTTTTCACTGTCCAGGGCGTCTGTATAGGGCTTCATGATCCAGGGCATTAGCGGGTAGGCTGGGTCCCCGAGGATCACTATAGGCATCTCCACATCCCCAACAGTTATTTTGTGGTCCGGGAAGTAAATACCTTCCTGCAGCCGTCTAAACAGACCAGAGTTCCTGAAAACACGAGCATCATGAACCTTGCCCGGCCATCCGACGTTGATGTTTGTAAAATGTCTCCTATGGTCCACCAGTGCTTGCAGCACCATTGAAAAGTAGCCCTTTCAGATAATGTATGGGCTGGCCTGGTGGTCCGGTCCCAGGATAGGGATGTGAGTTCCATCTATAGCCCCACCGCAGTTTGGGAATCCCATCACGGCGAAGCCATCTATGATGACCTCCACGTTTCCCAGGGTCACTACCTTTGACAGCAGTACCTCAACGATTGCGTTGGCTACTTGCATCATAACAACCCCCACGGTAGATTTGTCCACACCAAAGTGGTTTGCGACTGACCGATAGCTGTCTGGCGTTGCAAGCTTCCAGAGGGCTATGGCTACTCGCTTCTGGACAGTCAGGGCTGCTCGCATCCGGGTGTCATTGCGCTTCAGGGCAGGGGACAGCAACTCACAAAGTTCCAGGAAAGTCCCCTTCCGCATGCGAAAGTTTCGCAGCCACTGTGATTCATCCCAGACCTGCAGCACTATGCGGTCCCACCAGTCCGTGCTTGTTTCTCGGGCCCAGAATCGCTGTTCCACAACATCAACATGACCCATTGCCACCATGATTTCCTTGGCGCTGGGTCCCGTGCTTTGTAACAGGTCTGTGCCACTCTCAGACTTCAGGTCCTCACCGCGCTGCCGTAGCCTCCTCGCCCGATTTCTCAGCATCTGCCTCTGGGAAAGGTGGATGATAAGCTGCGAGGTGTTGACAATGGCCATAACTGCAGCGATGGTCGCAGCGGGCTCCATGCTCGCAGTGCTGTGGCGTCCGCGCTGTCACTGACCAGAAAAGTGCGCAAACTGATTTCCCGCCGGCGCTTTCAGGGAGGGAGGGCGGGAGTGACGGTTGGATGACGACAGTTACCCAAAAGCACCCTCGACACATTTTTTTCCCCAGAAGGCATTGGGGGCTCGACCCAGAATTCCAATGGGCAGCAGGGACTGCGGGAACTGTGGGATAGCTGCCCACAGTGCACCTCTTCCAATGTCGACGCTTGCCCCGTTAGTGTGGACTCACAAAGTCGAATTACTGTCCTTAGTGTGGACACACACGTTCGACTTTGTAATATTGATTCCACATATTCGATTTAAGTAAAATCGAACTACTCTCGTAGTGTAGACATACCCTTAGAAAAATCCGGCCCCAGGTGACTTGCCCTGAGTGACACAAGAAGTCTGGGACAGGGCAGGGAACCGAGCCTGGGCCTGTGGGGTCCCAGGTAGGCGCCCCGCCGCCTGAATGATACTTCTTCACTTCCCTGTGCCACTCCGTGAATCCCCAGGCAGGTAAATTGGGCTCGCTAAGTGACGAGGTTTTATGTGTCACCAGGAGGGGGATATGCAAACAGGTGTGTGTCATATTATCTGATTAAAATATCACCATATAGATCATTGTTACAACCACTGTTATATATTTGCAGCAAATCTTGTACAAAGGTTGCTGAGTGAGGTGTCTATGAAAAGGTTATGATTTGCTGGTTATGATTGTGCTATCTGTAAACATGTATCATTTTGTATTTGAAGATATAAATATTGTCTCTATACTTGGATTTCAAATGTGGGCTCCTGGGGTACTGCTCACAAGGTAACTAGCCAGCACACCTTGGAGGGACTGTTCAAATTAAGTGGTTCATCAAGAAACACTTGGTTGACAATGGACCATGGGAGACGCCCATCTACAAGATATGCTGCAAATATATCACAGTGGTTGCTAACAATGATCTATATGGTCATATTTTAATCAGATAACGTCACACCAAATATTCTATTACACATTGATATGGGTTAAAAGGAATTATTATCTGCCAAACAGAAGGCCAAATAGTCCCATGTTCACCTCTCAGTTCCCGTGTGGGGATAGAAAGCAGGAGAGGTGAAAACACAATCCTTGGCTTCCCCATCCACCCTTCCCCTTTCTTTTGGTACAGGGAGCTACCCAACCAAAACACCCCACTGAGTTTTAGTAAGGAGACAACAGTCCCCTTACACAGACACTGATATGGGTAAAAAGGAATTATTATCTGTCAAACGGAAGCCCAAATAGTCCCATGTTCACCTCTCAGTTCCTGTGAGAGGATAGAAAGCAGGAGAGGTGAAAACACAAACCCTGGCAGCTATAATGGGAACAAGATTGTTCCCCAATCCCCGTTGGTCAATGCCATAGAGCTGTGGCGTGTCTGTTTATAGATTTATTTGACTCCCTGCCCTGTACATTGTCTCACTTCTATTAGCCTCATCAATGAACTGGTCTCCAGCCAGTCTGAGAGCCTAGTACCATGGTGCATTATGAAGCCAGCCACCCACCCACCCTCATCGTCTGAGTGTCCTTCAGTGTAACTGTCTATGGGACATTCCCCTTGAACACACTCTCTCTTCAGTGTGTGGGAATGAGTGTGGGGATATGAAAGGGAACATGAGTGTTATGGGAATGGAGATCTGTGTTTCAGCATGAATGCTGATACTTGTCTGGGAATGGAAATGTTTTTGCTGTTATCTCTCAATATTACATCGTAGGGATGGTTGAAAAACACATAGTGTTCATATCACACAAGTTCTTTGAACAGAACCAGGAGAAAGTTTCTGTCTATACTTTATTGCTTTTTAATAATTAACTAAGTAAATGATCTTCATGATGATGCTTAGCGGTGACAGATTTGGTGCTGGTTCTGGGCCTAGCGCCTAGGGTCTCCAGAAGCTGGGAATGGGCGTCAGGGGGTGGATCACTCAATGATTCCCTGTTCTGTTCATTCCCTCTGGGGCACCTGGCATTGGCCACTGTCGGGAGACAGGATTCTGGGCTAGATGGACCTTTGGTCTGACCCAGTCTGACCTTTCTTATATTCTAAATTATAGTCTAGGATCCCATAGTCCTAGGCACGGTACAAACACAGACAATAAAACCTCTCTCAGTCCCACCGAGTTTACAACCCGAGTGTAAATGGGAAGTGGAGTGTGACTGGGAACAGGAATATAAACACGAATATAAATATCAACCGCGCATAATAATCTTCCTTCACTGTGTTGCCTGAATCTTCCTCGACTCTCCCCTAAAGAAAAACTCCCAGACACGCCGCTCTCGGCCCACTAATGTCAGGGAGACTCCACTACAAAACCTTAACTCTGTCCTCAGACTCCCCCCTCCCCCCAGCTTCTCCCACCTGCACCCACAGGCGGGCCCCAGACCTGGTCCAAAGCATGAGCCAGGCTTGCTCAGATCACGTTCCTAGTGTCATGGACCATTTCAATATAGCCGGTCACTGCTGGGAAGGGAAAGGGGCTTACGTCCCAAATCCCTCCCAGCACCATGGGAAATCTTCCCTCTCCAGCGGGTGGCCCAGCCCAATGGATCCCTGGGACACAACCCCTCCCCAGACACTGACCCCCCTGACCGGACGTTGCATCGCCCTTGTGCACGTGGAACGGGGCTCCAGAGCTGAGTCCCCCCAATCCTCAACATCACCTCACAATAGCCAGGCCCTCAGTTCCTGGGTGAGGAAATACAGTCACTGCAGGGAACTGGTCATTCCTCCCAGGGGTCCGAAAGTGTCAGGAGGACCCAGCGCCCTGTGCCCGGCGCTGCACAGACACACTGGCCGGGACAGTCTGACTCCCGCACCCAGAGCCCTAGGGCGAGTCAGTCAGATCCCTGGCAGCAGGAGTGTGTGTCTCTTATAACACGGGGGCATGCAAATGAGGGAGACAGTTTCCTGTTTAAATCGGTGCCTCTCTCTGCCCAGGCTGCACCCGGAGACACAATCCGCAGCCCCTGGGTCTGTGCAGTGACCAGCCAGTCCCCTGAGAACTGTCCCCTCCGGCACCAGGGAAAATGGGATTTTTCCTCCTTGTAATTTTGGCTGTAGCAGCTTTGGAAGGTATTTTCCTCCTCTGAATAACTGGTAGAGTTAGAAGAATTTTATGTTATCGCTGATTTTATACTGATATTAATGGCCTGTCTCTATTCTCAGGTGCCTGGTCCCAGGTGCAGCTGGTGGAGTCCGGAGGGGATGTGAAAAAGCCCGGAGACTCTCTCCGCCTCTCCTGCAAAGCCTCCGGGTTCACCTTCAGCAGCTCTGCTATGAGCTGGGTCCGACAGGCTCCTGGCAAGGGACTAGAATGGGTCGCTTATATAGGCACTTCTGGGAGTCCTATATATTACCCCGATTCAGTGAAAGGCCGATTCACCATCTCCAGGGATGATTCCAAGAGTGAGCTGCATCTGCAAATGACCGGCCTGAAGCCCGAGGACACCGCCCGCTATTACTGTGCGAGACACAGTGAAAGGAAACCGGTTTGTGATCATACAAAAACCCAGGCTGCGGAATCGCCCTTCTCCCAGCAGCCGCGTGGGGGCAGCAGTGACACACACAGGGCTTCAGGCTCAGACAGGAGACCAGGCAACCAGATGAATGTAACACAAACCTCCTGTCAGTTTTAACCCTTCAGTTCCCGGGCAACGTGCCTCCCCTTCCTGTCCAGAGTCCCCCTACCCTGGGTCTGCGGTGCACAGATCCCTCGGTTCATCAGTGAACTCCAATCCGGAGTGAGTCCTGTTCTGAGTCGCTCTCCCCTCGCAGACCTGGGACATTGGCTCTCCAGGGGACAATCTCTGTGTCAGACTCACAGGACAGCGTGTGTTAGTGTAAAGGGGGCAAGCACATTGGGGTTTGCAGCACACCCAATGGATGGAGCGAATTCCTCTTGGGGCCAAATCCTCCGGTAGTGTAAAGTCACCGCAACTGCTTCCGCTAGACTTGAGTTACTCCGGATTTACACCAGGGAGGCTCTAGCCCTTTCAGCAAACTGGGATGTTTAGCGCATTAATGCAGCAGAAGGTGTTTAGTTCATTATAACTGATGTGGGGCCCCTCACCGGGGCATCTCCACCCTTCACAAGCGGTTATTGCCTTTATCTCCACAACGCCGCTGGGAGCCCGGGGAACTATCACAGCCCCCGGTTGCACCCGGAGAGACAATCCACAGCCCTCTGGGTCTGTGCTGTTCCCAGAGACTCTCCCATAGAATTTGCTCCAGTCAAACCATGGAAAATAAATCTTTGGGTCCATTTAGTTTTCACTGTAGCAGCTTGGGAAGGTATTTTCCTACCCGTGAACACATTGCAGAGGCAAACCATTTATTGTTCCACACCTGTTTTCTAAGTGTTTGTTTATTCGCAAGTGTCCGGTCACAGGTGCAGCTGGTGGAGTCCAGAGGGGATGTGGAAAAGCCTGGAGATTCTCTCCACCTCTCCTGCAAAGCCTCCAGTTTAACCTTCAGCAGCGCCTATGAATTGGGTACGACAGGCTCCTTGGAAGAAACTCAAATGTGTCGCCCATATAAACCCCAGTTTGGGTACTGTATATGTGTCTCCCCTTCCTGCCCACAGCTCCGCTGGGCCTCCGGTGCACAGATCCCTCGCTTCATCTGTGAACCCCAATCCGGAGTGAGTCCTGTTCTGAGTCGCTCTCTCCTCCGAGACCTGGTACCTTGGCTCTCTTGGGGCTCGTCTCTGTGTCAGACTCATAGGACAACCCCTGTCCTTGTAACGGAGACAAGCGCATTGCGGGACTGATCCAGTGCCCATCAGAGACAACAGGATTCATCCTCGTGCCATCTTTGGGGTTTGCATCACACGCAACGGATAGAGCGAATTCCTCATGGGGCCAAATCCTCCGCTAGTGGTAAAGTCACTGCAGCTGCTTCCACTAGACTTGAGTTACTCCTGATTCACATTAACTGGGGATCTGGTTATAACCGTGCCTTGGTTGGTCACATCTAAGAATACCAAATTGAGGACAAATTGCTGAGAAATAGGGCAAATACACCCTAACACTGGTAGTTATTATCCCATAAGATATACCAAACCAGAGACAAAAGTAAACCGCTGTTTCACCACACTGGCTAACAAGAAGTCAGAAAAGCAGCTTCCTTAGGTTTTGCAGTCCTGGTATCACCACAAAACCACTAGACTTAAAGATCAGTGGTTCTTTAAAAACAATTTAGTCAAATAAAATCCAGATAACGTCACACCCCCAACCCCAACCCTAGGAAAGGAGCTGAAAACACCAGAGCTCCTTTTTTCAGTTGCTTTCTCTGAGCTGTATAACAGGGCAGGGAAATGAACCAGCTATTAGCGAATACTGTGTGATCTGACCCCTTTCTTTCTTTCTTTCTTTCTTTCTTTCTTTCTTTCACCAGACTAGAGGTCGCCCAATGAAATTAATAGTCAGCAGCTGTAAAACAAATTTAAGGAACTACTTTTTCCCACAAGGCACAGTCGGCTTGTGGAACTACCTTCCATGGGATGTTGCGGAATGCAAAATTAAAAACTGGATTTAAAACTAATTAGATTAATTCACAGAAAACATTAGACATTAAGCATGGCAATACTGGGTCAGATCAAAGGTCCATCTAGCCCAGTATCCTGTCTTCCAACAGTGGCCAATGCCAGGTGCCCCAGAGGGAATGAACAGAACAGGTAACCATAAAGTGATCCATCTCCTGTTGCTCATTCCCAGCTTCTGGCAAACAGGGGACAGGGGCACTTCACAGCATGATTTTGCATCCCTGACGGTCCTGGTTACACAGACCTTTCCCAGACCTGAAAACCAGCTCTGTGTTGCTCACGAACGTGACTCTTTCACCAACAGAAGTTGGTCCAATAGAAGATATTATCCCACCCACCTTGTCTCTCTGATAGCCTGGGACCAACAGGGCTACAACAACACTGCAATGCAAACAACCTGCCTCTGAAGCATCAGCTACCGTTGGAGGTAGGATACTGGATTAGATGGATTTGGAGTCTCATCCGATATCATTTCTACGAGACAAGAAAAAAGTCACTTGTTCATTTGCAGAGTTTTGGAATACAAGAGAATTCTCTACTCTCTCTCTCTCTCGCTCGCTTTCTCTCTGTGGATGCTTATACTACTGCTCCCCCTCCTGGAAGGAATGAGTTCTGCTCTGTGTCAAGGGGTGTGTGTGTGTGTGTGTGTGTGTGTTGTGATGATGTAACTAAAGATGAGGGCCACATTGGTTTCTGAAATGATATGGAGGGCTGGTTAGGGAAGGCTGTGCCTCCCCAAACAGCCAGGCATGGCCCGGCCCCCACCCGCTATCCGACCCCCTTTGCTTCTCACCCCCTGATGGCCCCCCGGGACCCCTGCCTCATCCACCCCTCCCTGTCCCCTGACCGCCCCTGGACCCATGCCCCGGAATGTCTCCCACCACCCCATCCAACCCCTCCTCTCATTCCTGACAGCCCCCCGGACCACTGCCCCATCCAACCACCCCTTCTCCCTGACTGACCCCAGAACCCCTGGCCCTGACTGCCCCCCGCCACCCCATTCAACCTCCCCTCTCCTTCCTGACTGCCTCCCAGGACCCCTGCACCCATTCAACCCTCCTGTTCCCTGCCCTCTGACCCCCTGACCCCTATCCACACCCCGGCCCCCTGACCTCCACCACGAAGTCCTCTGCCCTCTATCCAACCTCCCCTGCTCCCTGCCCCCTTACCGCGCTGCCTGGAGCACCAGTGGCTGGCGCCGCCCAGAGCCCAGGCTGCGGGGGAAGGGGAACAGCAGGGGAGGGGCCGCGGGGTAGCCTCCAGGGCCAGGAGCTCAGGGGCCGGGCAGGAGGGTCCAGCCCTGCATGCCGTAGTTTGCCCACCTCTGTCTTATGAGAACAATTTCTGTCAGTGGAAGAAAACAATTAAACTGAAAAGAAATGCTGCGAGTAGTTGTTGTTTTAAAAGTACTATCCACCGATGTGGATGTTACTGGGAATTATTTAAACAATGTGAATATCGGGTAGGTGCTGCTGTGTATGTGTCTGCATTGGGCAAGTATGCGCTTTGTGCGTGTGTTGTCAATGTCCGTGCTTTGTATTTGTGCGATGTTGCTCTGGCTGTGTACATCTGTATTGTAGGGTTGTGGTGAGTGTGTGGTGCGGGTGCTGTGTGTGTAGCTCTTGTTACTCTTTTTAGGATGCACCTGCGTGTGTTTTGTGAGCATGTCTCCTGCCTGGAGCTGTGTGTGTATGTGTTAGGTGATCCTGTGTGTTGGTTGGGGAAAACTGAAACAAGAGATGGAGAGAGAGTCTAACTACTTTTTTTTTTTAACCAATATTAGCCGATATTGCTGAACTTTTGTTTTGACTTTAACCTAGCCACTGGGTGAATGGGATCTGGTCACTTATGGACGGATATTGAAAATAACACATGGGAGACAGGATTCCAAGTGCGCGCCCCCTAAATTAGTCAGCGGAAAGTCATTGGGGCACGTGCTCAAGAACAAGAATTGACTCCACTTGAAGTTCTGCTCCAAATATTACTCTTAAATTAAAACTTCATCAGCTCAGCTCAGTTCCAGTGTCCGCTGAAGTCAATGGCAGCAGTTCCTGTGAGGTTAGTGGATGCTGGATCAGACCACAGGTCATGGGCCATGTCCACCCGACACGATTTTCATCTGTAGGGAGGGAGTTCACAGTAATATTCTTTCCTCTCTTCTATATCCTGTGTGTTGAAACTTCATGCGAATTGCTGGCTGGGGCTTTCTTCTCAAATAGAAACTACTCTTTCTACTCAGACTCAGTCCCCGCGTAGCTCAGCTGGAGATTTCTTTTCTAGCTGCCTCCTCCGAAACCCAGCTGGAGATCTGCCGCAGAGAAAGTGTCCTTGCTAGAGACCATGATGTGTTTATGCATTTTCCTTCTCCTCCTGGCCGCCCCTTCATGTAGGTCATTATCTAAGATGGAAAATAATAAGAATTTCAGCGCACTTTAATACCAAAGTGGGAACATGGAGGTTTTACTTTCTATTTTCCCAGGTGTCCTCTCAGAGATTCAGCTGGTGGAGTCTGGCCCGGGAGCAGTGAAGCCCGGAGAGACCTTCAAACTAACCTGTGCTGTGTCTGATTGGTACTGGTGGCACTGGATCCGACACCCCCGGCAAAGGGCTGGGATGGATGGCAGAGATAAGCCCTGGACCTTTTAAATTGACCTTTTAAATTGACTGGCTGGTTTGCAGGGCTCCTAGGCGCACGGGCCTGCCTCAGGGCTAGGCCCAGCCAGCTCCCTGGGTGGCGCAGCGGCTCGGGCTGGGGAGGGCCAAGCTTCCCCCTGTAACCGTGCCTCAGTGGGTCACAACTGAGAATGCCAAATTCATGAGGAACTGCTGAGAACTAGGGCAAACACGATATACCAAACCAGCCACAAAAATAAACTCCTGATTCACCACACTGGCTAACAAGAAAACTTAAAGGCAGTTTCCTCAGGCATTCCAGTTCTTATATCACCACCAAAAAACACTGGATTCAGAGGTGAGTGGTTCATTGCAATGGTCTCATCAAATAATAGGTTCTTCTGATCCCAAAGGACCAGCCACATTCCCAGGTCAATATATAACTTAGATCTTACCCAAAAATCGGGCTGATGCCAATCCTTTAGTATCTAAAATCTAAAGGTTTATTGAAAGAAAGAAAGAAAGAAAGAAAGAAAGAAAGAAAGAAAGAAAGAAAGAAAGGTGTGAGTGAAAATTGGTTAAAGGAATCAATTACATCTAGGAATGGCAAAGTTCTAAGTTCAAGCTTGTAGCTGTGATGGAATAAACTGCTGACTTAAGTCAAGTTTCTGGAGCACATCCACAGCTTGAATGGGTCATTCAGTCCATTGTTCAGAGCTTCAGTTTGTAGCAAGGTTCCTCCAGAGGTAAGAAGCAGGATTGGAGACAAAATTGAGGTGTTTACAGGGCCCTTTATAGCTTTTTCCATGTGGAGGTATCCCATTGTTCTTACTGTGGAAAATTACAGCAACAAGATGGAGTTTGGAGTCACATGGGCACATTTCATGTTCATGCCCAATTTCCCTCAGTCATTGCAGGAAGCCATTACCCATACTCCAGACAGCATGTTTACATGAAAGTCCACTCAGTGTAGATGGGCATCTCCCATGCTCAATTGTCAACCAAGAGTTTCATGATGAGCCACTTAATTTGAATAGTCTCTCCAAGATGTGCTGGGTGTTACCTTGTGGGCATTACCCCAGGAGCAAACATTTGAAATCCAAATATAGAGCCAATACTTATAACTTCATATACAAACATGATTCTTGCATACAGGTAGCAGAATCATAACCAGCAAATCATAACCTTGTCATAGACACCTCATTCGACAACCTTTGTACAAGATTTGCTGCAAATATATAACAGTGGTTGCAACAATGCTCTATATGGTCATATTGTAAGCAGATAACGTCACAACCCCTCGAGGCAGCCTCTCCACCCTCTACTTCTCTGGGAGCCAGGAGCAGCTGCTGGTGCGGCCTGAGGTCCCCAGGGGCCAGTTCACCATTGAGGTCTGGGTGAAGCCCGAGGGAGGGCAAAGCAACCCATCCATCATATCAGGTAACCCTGTGCCAACGCAGCGCTCAGCAGG